CCCTGGCAGCTCTGGTGGCTGCTGGCACCTCCCCCGTGTAGGTGCTAGCTGTGCAGGAGGAAACTCCGGCCACCATTTTGCAGCTCTGCTGAGATATTTTTTCTGGGTGGCTGTGTGCAGTGGGGGTGGGGTGCTGAGTTTTGGCCTGCCGAGGGTTAACTGCTGCTTTCCGCCCTTGGAATTAGCTATCACCATGTCCCCTGCCACCGCTGAGCCGCTTTTGGAGGGTAAATACTTAAAAGTGAAAGGAAAGACATAAAGAGAGGAAGAAAAAACACCATCTTGGTGGTGGTGGTGGTGGTGGGGGGGGGGGACCCTAATTTCTTTAAAATTCTCATGTGCAGCAAAAACACGCAGGCTGGGAAAAACAGGAATGAGGAAATGGGAAAAAGCTTCTCCCATGGGATTAACTACAAAGACTCTGGGACTTCAGGTCAGGAGCGCGCTGTTTTAAACAGCAGATATTCCAGGTACACATCGGTAGTAATAATAACTGGTAATTAATAGTGGCACACTGGTACTTCTCTGCCCCCCCTCCCTGGCGCCCCCAGTAAAATAATACCAACTAAGTCTCCTTGTATTTTTATCCATGTGTGTCTGTGTGTGGCCTAGCCCCATTCATCATTTGGCTCCCACTGCAGAACTCTCTCCATTTTAAAAATTATGCATGATACACTGAAGAGACAATTTGGGTTTCCCCCACCTCTCCCTTGCCCTTGAAGAAAGCAAGCCCTTGTCTCATTTGCATTTGCATTAAAACCCTGCTCTCTATAAGCTAAGCAAAGGGGAAGGACTTGAAGCCTATGGGATGGCTTTAGGGCTCTGCCCCTTGCTTTTGGCTCTCTCTCTCTCTTTCTCATTCTCTCTCGTGCTTTGATCTCTGCTTAACAACAGTAACGTCACAGCGACTATACAGGAGAGTTTTGTTGGAAGTTAGAAAGTTTTGCAGCCTCCAGAGGGCTGTAGCGGCAGTAGCAGCAGCAGCATCCAAGGGACTCCTGGAAGGGGAAGAGAGAGAGCGAGCGAGCTCCCGCCCCCTTGCGCGAGCTGCCCGGAGCCCCGGAGGCAGCCATGGAGCACCAGCTGCTGTGCTGCGAGGTGGAGACCATCCGGCGGGCCTACCTGGATGCCAACCTCCTCAATGACAGGGTGCTGCAGACCATGCTCAAGGCCGAGGAGACCTGCTCGCCCTCCGTCTCCTACTTCAAGTGCGTGCAGAAAGAAATCTTGCCCTATATGAGGAAAATGGTTGCCACTTGGATGTTGGAGGTTTGTATGTTTCGGCGATTTCTTTGCAAACTGAACTGAATTCAGGCTGCGGGCTGCTCCCCCCTCTGCTGCCGCTCGCTGCCCCCCCTCCCGAAATAACTTTCCCCGCACGGCACACGTTGCCCCGGCTTCGGCGGGTCCCGCGTGTAACGTCGGGATTGGGGTCGATTTTATCATTATTACTGTAATTATTACTCTCTTATTTCTGCTGTAACGAGCTGCTGCTCTAGAGGGAAGGCTCAGGGCACCCCCCCACCCCCGCGCACGCACACACACACAGACACACGCACACACACAGACACGCACCGCTCCCGAAGCGCAGGGTCTGGGGGTGCCCTGGCACCTTTTCCGGCTTTCGGACCAACGCGGTGCTAGTGCAAGGGGAGCGTGGAGAAACCTCGTTTGGAAAATGTCCCCCTTTCAGCCTCCCTGCCTGGGCGCCTTGGCTGGGAACGGCCACATCGCTGGAGCCCCCGGCTCCCCAGTCCGGGGCCATGGGGAAATCCTGCCAGTTATTTTTCTGGGGATTTTATTTTAAATTAATATCCTTGTACACGTATGCAAGTGCTGCCCGTGCCAGTATTATGCGCCATCTTTGTTCTTTTATTGCAAAGCAAAAGTGTTTATTAATCAGGAGAAAATTAGAAAGTCCCGGGGAGCAAGCCAAGGGTGTGTGTGAGGGCGTGAGCGGGCAGGGGCCGGGGAAGAAGGTCGGGGCTGGGGGTCCCCGCCGGGGCTCTGGGCAGGGGGAAGGCCGGAGGGGGTCCGGCCTTTCGGGGGGGAC